TGGCAGTGCATTTGTTGGGCCAGATCTAAGGAGCCAGAGAGCGTTCAGCTCCTTTTTGCCTACAAAAGAGCAGCCAGACAACCAGCAAGAGGCCTTGGATGTAGCACAAGGTGATACTTACTTAGTCAGCCATTCTTTTTTTCAAATATATATTTTTTTTTCATTCAGTAAAGTAAGAGTTTCTCAATTTCACAATGACACAAGGAATTAAATTATCAAGGGATTGTTTTCCTACAGCCAGCATTCTTCACACCAGAAATACTGTACCAAGTGAATTGTAGGTTTTCCAGAACAACATAGATTATATTAAAAAAAGAAATAAACATAAAAAATTGCTGGCTACCATTTCTTTAAAAATATCTCCTACGTTTAAGGAGATGTTTTCCATTTTACAGTCACACAACCCCATTTTTTTGTGAATTTTGGGGGCTTTTCTTTCTTAAAGGGGACAGCTTTGTTAAGACGTTGTTTGTGATTCTTCCAGTTTTAGACTTTGGGCTACTTGTGTTTTCATTCTGTCTTGTCTCATTAGTCCATCAGTGCCATAGATTGTAAGCCAATTGCTGCCTCTTTATGACAAGTGATTTGATACTTTTGGTGATATACATTCATGAAAAAATATTTTCAAGTTACATACAGTTTATTGGTAATAAGGTAGTTGATGTAGACACTAGGCAGAAGGCAGAAAATATCCAAGATGTTTGTGTCTGTCTTTGCTGACCACTTCCTACGATCTGACTAGCCACAGAAATTCAAAGGCAATGCACTTTTGTTTATGTCGAGTGCTCCCTGCTTAGCAATTCATATTTTGCTTGCTACCTGTGTGTTTTGAGCTGTTCTGAAACAGTAGTAGAGACCAAACATAAATGTGGTCCCCAGAGTGATCAAAGATTTAATCTGACCAGATGGGACAAACTTGGGAAAGATTTTGACTTTCCACTCTGTTTTGCAACAAGAAAGGCTGATTTTTTTTTTTCTCCCATTCTCTCTTTGTTAGAAAAGGCAGAGATCAGGCTATCCCCAGAGAAATGAGCAGGTGTGGCCATTTACAAGCATGTCTGGTTATATTATAAACCAACATAAGAAAAGTTTGAAATGGTTTGAAAAGATCTGCTAAACAGTTTTAATGTTTCATCCCAAATCCTATTTACTCAAACAAGAACCAATCAAGGTCACAGTAAAACCCAGCCTGCCCAAACCTTTAAAGCTCATGTAATTTTATTTTTTTATTATTTTTCTATTCTGTCTTCTCTGCTAACTGAATAGGTACATTTTGGTAATCCTTGCCTCTGGACAAGCACAGAAGTCTTTTTCTTTCTGAATGGCTAATAACAGAGCCGTTCTTCCTGTCTAATGATGAAAGAGGTGGCAGTCAAGTTCTTTCTCTTAGATGTACTGTGCACTCGGGCAGACCACAGACAATTCTGAAACCCACAGCTACGGGAATTGCTCCCCCTCATACGTACAATTCTGGTTTAATTTTGTTGCTGTGGAGTATCACTAATTTAACACTTTCTTTTTCCACCAGTCTATGGACATGGTAAAGAATTTTCTTTTTAAACATTGAATAAATGCAGTTCACAGGATTATATTTTTTCTTCGTAGGGAGAGGATAATATATTGTCAGACTTCTGGTTTAAACTGAGTTTGGATCCTCCCAAAATTCTACCAAAGGATGGCTGAAAATCCCTGGCAGAGGTTTTTGAGAGGTTTTGGTTTTTGGTTTTGTTTTTTGAAAATGCAAGAAGATTGAAGAATTTTTAGTTATTTAAGGAGATGGGGTTTACAAGGTGGTTGGTTGGTTGATTTTTTTCCCTGCGAGACTTGACCATTCTTAATATTTTACCGAGTTGGTCAGCTCTCAGTTTCTGCAGCTGCCGGGCGACATCGCTGGCCGGGTAATGATCTCGGAAACTGCCCCACCAGTGTTTCACATTCGAATTCACCTTCCCAAATCCACGGCATCATTTTTGGCCAAAGTAATGTCAGTCATTGCTGTCTGCGGCGAGTACAAAAAGGACCCCCTAATGGCAGCCATTTTTATTTGTTTCTTAAGATCCAAAGGCTGCTGAAAGAACAATTGGATAAAGTTGAGGATTGGAGAAGCTTGATTTTCTTGTTCCAGTGAAATGAAACTCCCGTCCTTTTTTCTTCTCCTTCCCCTTAAAAGCTGGAGTCTGCTAGGGGGTTGTAGCTGTGTCAAAGCCGTTGGGATGCCACTGCTGATCACTTTAATTACTGGGACTAAGGAGGATAAAATTAAAAGTAGCACCATTGAAGCAGTGGAAGAAAGCTTGCCGAGATGTCGGTGAACTGTGAAATATAAAAATTGCATGCCAATACATTTTTATAGGAGGGAAACAAGGAATTACATTACTTATTCTTGAAGAGTTTGTCCTTAAATGGTGAAGTTTTCCTCGCTGTGCACCCGCGTGGCAGATCTTTAGACCATTACAAAGTAATTGGGGGAAAATAACAGAGCAAACTTTAATGTCTCTTTGGCATGTCAGGTTCATGTCAGAGGGTGAAAGATTTGACTGAGTTTTCAAATGTACAGGAAAAAAAATCACTGTGTGTGTGTTTGCATGATCCTTTCTTGATGCAGAACTTCTCTTCATGTCTCCTTTCATTTTAATATGTATGTTCCTGCCCTCCGTACCTCTCCTGACCACTTTCCTTTCCAAAATCTAGGGGACTGATTTGCTGTTTAATAATTGTTCTGTACCTCAAAACTTAATCGACCTACTTTTTCTGCACTCAGCTTCATTGCTCCTTCCACCAGCATTTCCTCTGCCAAGCTTGGTAACTGAGTTCAAATACCTGAATTGAATTTAAGCAAGAACTAGGCTGGTTTTTCTCTTATCCACTGGCGATGATTGGCTTAATCAGCACAAACACAAGCCCCAGTAATCTGTGTTTGCTTGGAGATCCCCGGGATGTTAATGACTATGCTAATAATTCAGAATACAAGTTCTCTTTCAGGAGGAGGGGAGAAAAGGAGAGGAGGGAATCAGCCTGCTCAGTGTAGGGCACATTTGTCACAAACACGTAACTGACCTTATTTTAAACTACATGGGCCATAGTAGATTAATTTGTTTGACATTAAACCACATGGGAATCTTAATATAAATTTCTCACATTCCTTCTTAAAAGTCATTTAAATCGAACTCACAAGTTTCTGTATCCCAGGAATTACAAATAGTAGAAATTTGGGCAGTTTTATTTCATGTAAAATTCGGTGTAATTTATGTTACCAAATACCATGGGTTGAAATCAAATCCGTTGCTGTATCAGTTGGCTGCTAGAAATTAAATTAAATTGATCTATTATAGTGCACAGGCACGGGGCGGGGGGCGGTGGGGAAAGCTTTCCAGTTGTCTTTCTAATGTGTACTTTACCAAATAAGTTTTTGATAGAACTGTTGTTCTGTGCCTTCTGGGAAGTTAAAGGGTGAGAAAGCAAACAAAGCCAATGCGCCATCCCGCTGCCTTGCAGGGCCCAGGCAGAATTGTCTTTCCAGGGGAAGGACATTAGGAGAAAAGTAAATCCAGGCAATCTGATAGGGAATCAGGGTTCTGTCACTCAGAGACAAGATATTGTGCTGTGTCCATATACTTTGTTTACTGTAGGGTTTTATGAGTTGTAACCTGCCCATGCAAGCTGTTAATGAGGCTAAATCTTGCTGCTTGAGGATTGAATTACAGCACACCTCTGGGCTAATGGTTATAAACAGAAAGTCCCATTAGGGCTGCATTCTGATTCAATCATTTGCATTTTTTCTATTGTGCCGAGAACAATGCTGAGTAAATAGCTACAAACAAACAATTTACATGGAAATGGCTAAAATGTACCTAATTAGTATTTTGCCCTTGTTTTATTAATGATTGCTTAAACTAAATAGCACTTAGCAGCAGCTCTCACCAGCATCTGCAGGTGTGGGACGCTCAGCTTCTGGGTTGGTGGGAAGGCTGCCAGGATGGCTCTCCAAAATTAGGCAGTATGTTATATTCCAGGTCAACTGCCTACACCTGGGTTTTTTTCTGTTCATTATTGTCAATAATACAAATTTATCATCAGATTTGACTTAAAGCCAAACGCTGACTTGGTTGCACTTATGAGCATTTGCAATATTGAGGCAAGGGCAGAAAACAGTCCTGACTTTGAAAAAATCATATTTTTAAGATGAAAACTGAAACAGTTTCCCTTACAATTTAATGTATTCTTATAAATACATTTAAACTATATTTTTATTATTATTCTTTACTGTGGGGGGTTAGTCTTTTCCAAAATTTCATGCTTTAGAACTTTGCTCATTTATGTAACTGCAATAGGCTTTAGAGGGACAACACTATCTGGGATAGTTTCTATACGATCTCTTAAATTACTGAACGAAGCCCCAGTAGTAGGGTTTTTTAAAGCAATGCAAAGTCCTTTCTGCTCTGGCATCTATTTTTGTTTCATCAATTTTCATTAGTTTATTTAAAAAAGAAAAACTGAAAGATATACCCACTGAAGTCTAAGGATTAGATTCTTCCCATGCCTCAGATTCAGTGTTACTTTACATTTCGAAGTCAGCTTGATGATTGGAGTAACGGAGAGCAACATCTGGCTTCTCATTTCAGTTCTATGAGAGAGTATTACTCAAACAAGTAATTCAATTTAGTAAAACCCTTTTTATAAACACAGTAGAACTTATTGCTTTGAGACAGAAGTTTCTGGGAATTTTCATCAAGGTATTTTTATAGAAGATATTTTATAAATGCTTTAAATTGCAAATAATTAGGTTTCTAATGCAATAATAGTTTTGGGAATGCTTTAAAGAAATCTGATTCATGGATGTCTTTAAAATTGTGGTGTGACACCCAACTGATATCGAGCATCCTATTTATAATGTGGGCCAAGAACCATGCTGTAAACCAGTTACTATCATGATGATCAGATTGAGAGTGAAATTGCATTTCTGTCAATTACTGAGTTGGCAACTGTTCAATATATCTTAGCAGCAAGATGAAGAGCGGCGTCGGCAGCTGAGAGAGCGAGCTCGTCAGCTAATAGCAGAAGCTCGATCTGGAGTGAAGATGTCAGAACTTCCTAGCTACAGTGAAATGGCTGCAGAAAAGTTGAAAGAAAGGTCAAAGGCATCTGGAGGTGAGCTGAGGAACCTTGTATCTTATTCCTATGGCAACCTAGAAACCAGAGAAGACCTTTTTGGGTATCACTTTTATTCACACTTCAAAACGTTCTTGTGGGTAATTGTTGTTCATCAGGTGCACATATCAAAAGACCTGGCCATAGATATGTTTCCTAAATCGAGGTTGTGTCACTTAATTTCTAACAATTGAAAGAAAAGCATACATGTGATTGAAAGAAAAAGATGTTATGTGAACAAGTATCTCATATTGGCTATTATTTACAGATTTGTCATTACCCACAATTATTCTGAATTTTATGATTGTTGGTTAAAATCTCTTAAATATGTATTTTTATATAGGAGCATGGACATGATTTTTGGGGAAAACACCATCAGAAATACTTCAGAAACTTTATTTTGTATTAAATGTGTTCAAAAGGCTGCTTGGGAAGAGAATTTTAAAGGTAGCCCGTGGGAGGTGGGGACAACAACCTTTTGATTTTAAATGGCAGTCTTTTGACATACCACTTGCCTTTACAGGTTTTGAGTTGTTGTAGTATTGCTATGATGTTATTAAACTGACTTTGAAAAGTCATTAAAATTTGTGTACCTGCTAGTGCTACGAGCTGGAGTAATGTAGTGTCACTCAAACTCAAATGGGTGTTGAGAAGCCATTTCAGTACAGGCTTCTTGCTCTTTTAGTATCTTCTACATATTCTAAGGGGGAAATTGTGTTTCTCATAGTAACACATAATTGTAAGGCGAAGTGTCAGAAAAATCCCCTTTACATTCACGATGCATGTAGATTCAACAACAATATTTTTTTATTCTCTACTGCATGTATTTTATAATTTAAATACCATTTTATTGGACTAAGCCCTATACTTCTGTTCCATTTAACACCAAAGAGAAAAGCGGTTAGTTGTGCTTCTCGCCTTGGGGCTCGTCTTCAGTTTTCCTCTTTGCCCAGTAAACCAAGCTTGCCAACAGAAATCTCTTTTGTGATAAATAGGGAAATTACATCCTTGATGGGGAGGGAGTAAGACAGGCTGAGCAAAATGGCACAGTACTTGCATATTAAGTAGACTATGGCATTCTTCATACCTCTTCACAATTTATGACTCCCCATCCAACATTATCTAATTACTTCCTCCTCACTGGGTTATTGTGCCTGTGCGTAGCTGTTCCTGCTGTCTCTCCTCTCCAAGTAAGGTACACTTTCTGGCCATATCCTGAGTGCTCAACTGGGTAGTAGTTACCCTGTTCTGTCCTAGTGACTCACTGGTAGTGTTGCTAAATATCCCAGTATGCTGCTCTCTGGGATGTGACCTTCCCTGTTCATATTTTCCTCTGAATTTTGCTGTTGCTCTTCCTGCCCTCTGTTAGTTTATAAACAGTCTCAGAGGTAACCGTGCACTGTGCATATAGATATGTATTCTATATAGAGATTGTATATGCACTCAGAGAGTTTCAGTGTTATTCAAGGAGGAGACAGTATCGGTACTGATGAGAACATGTTTATAAAGTTATCACCAATACTGCACCTGTTGGGTTTTATCCAGTATCACAAATTCACTGCTTTCTACTTCTGCATGTGCTGCGAGTTATCCCCTTCCTACCTTGATTCTTCTTTGTTCACACAGTAGTTCGGCCAAGTTATTTGAACTTCTATTGGGCTTTCAGTTTTTGTTCACTGTCTGCTTTTACTCCTCTTTCCTCTTTTCATAGAATCAAAGAATCATAGAATGGTTTGGGTTGGAAAGGACCTTAAAGATCATCAAGTTCTAACCCCCCTGCCATGGTCAGGGACACCTTCCACCAGACCAGGTTCCTCAGAGCCCCATCCAGCCTGGCCTTGAACACCTCCAGGGATGGGGCATCCACAGCTTCTCTGGGCAACCTGTTCCAGTGCCTCACCACCCTCACAGTGAAAAATTTCTTCCTAATGTGTAGTCTAAATCTACCCTCTCTCAGCTTATAACCGTTCCCCCTTGTCCTCTCACTACACTCCCTGATAAAGAGTGCCTCCCCATCTCTCCTGTAGGCCCCCTTCAGGTACTGGAAGGCTGCTATTAAGTCTTCTCAGAGCTTTCTTTTGTCTAGGCTGAATAACCCCAATTCTCTCAGCCTGTCCTCATAGGGGAGGTGCTCCAGCCCTCGCGGCTCTCCTCTGGACTGTCTCCAACAGGTCCAGTTAATATGCATTTTACAGCACTTCCTTCTACTCATTCATTCTCAAAAAGCTTTCCTTATGGCAAATCTTCCACATGCTTCTACCACACCACCGGTGATTTCAGGTGCCACCCTAGATCTGTGCTCAGGAAATGTATTCTTCTAAAATACAGGAGTTCTGTGAAATGGCACTTTATAGACCAAATAAAGTGTAATTATTTTTGGGTTTAGTCTTCTTCATTTTTTGATTTCCACCAAAAATTAGGATTTAATAGACGGCCTCCTTATTAAAACTGGATTCTGAATATTGCCCCTGACTCCACTCACATGTAGTAGGTATTTTTTCTGTGTATAGTCCTGTATTCCCTATACAATACCTAAGACAAGCTTATAGTAATATCTTACGTCTTCCAAGCTCTCTTGTCCATTATGCTTCATTAATCTCTTCTTCTGAATTGATTGCTAGATTTTAATTTGCAAAAATGGAATTTACCAATTCACTTTCCTCTCTCTCAATTCAGTTATTCCAGAAAAAAGCTGACATTCCAGCTTTGGAATTTTTGAGTTTTTAAAGACTAACTCATTGCTCACTATTGTAGGTGAAAATGTGATCTCTTTCAGTGTTTCTGTATACTCATTAAGAGTTTCGTGCTTTAGCACTGGTGCTACATTCTCTGTTAGCTGGCTTTGTTTAATCATGGTCTGAAAAACTCAAATGCCTATGGCAAGCTGAAACTTTCCTGGATAAGCAGCATCCTTTGCTATGAAATCCAGTCTTCTTCATAGGTTATTTGGCATGTGAGACACAAAATACTTCTTTCTGCCAACTGCCAGAGGGTTTGGGATGGCAGCTTCAAATTTATTAGATGTCCTACTAGCTTCAAGCTGATAAGCAGATGCCTTGAGAGATGGGTCCAGGGACAGCATTGAGGTAAGAGTCCAAATATCCTCCCTTTGCCCAGCAGCGATGGGACAAAGGAATTGACATCTTATCTAGGCATTGTCCCCATGCAGTGGGACACCCATCCACTCTTTTGGGATTTGGGTAGTGTGTGTTTTTTTACTCTCTGGCACATCTCCATCCTTTGTTTTGTGGTCTTTGTGAGGATGTGGCTTGGATCTGTAGGTAGGGAACAATGGAGAGGAAAGGGGGTAAGACAAAAATAGTGGGAAGAGGCTTTGGTAAAAAAAAGAAGTGCCAAAAACAGGCAACATTAGGAGGAGAGAAGAGAATGACCACAGGAGTGGCACAGAAAAGAGATGTTAGAGGAGAGGGGAAGGAAAAACACAGCAAAAGCAGCATCCAGTTGTATTGTAAGACAAAAAGAGTTCTCAAAAATTTTAGAATTAATAACAAAAGCTAGAAAGAGGCACTGCAGTTAAAAAATTTACCAAGAAAGCCAGCTGGCATTGCATTGCACTTGTATGCTTAAAGATTTCAGGATACATTACAGATTTTACTTCTGAGGCAATGATTTGGGGGGAATGTACATCGTAGCCTAGTCTTACTCATCATCCTCAGTCTGCAACTTATAAAACGGTGCTGCCCTCAATTTAATATTTTTAACAGGCAGTATATCTGTCTGTTAGCAGTTACTGCTGTACTTCCTTGTCCCGACGTCTGATTTCTTGTACACTGAATCAGTATTTCGACCTTGCATTTCTTCCATTCCCCACCTTTTCTTCCTTTATTACTGTTGAGGTGCTCCTATCACATCCTGTAGCCTTAAAGTGAACTCTCTACCTGAAAGTAAATAAACTAAATATCTGAATATCCACAAACTTGAAGGATTTCCCAAAGAGAATCCTGGAGGCATCTTCCGTAAAGAGTGAGTACTGTTCATGCAACTCAAGTGGCAGCTTACATATGCCTCTCCCACTAATATGATGCAACCCCTATCAATGCTTTTACTTCTCTATGAAATTTTTTCCTTTTTAATTTCATCTAGAAGTTGATGCAGTCTGCTGCAACTCCTTCACATGTGGACAAGCTTAAACCGCTTAAACCAAGTCAAGAGAATATCAGTTTAACCACAAATTAAGTCTGAGCTTAACCTGAATAGTAAGACGTATGAGCTGTAAAATGCCTCTGGATCTTTTTTTCCACCAGTATTTTGGCATTTCCGTTTGGTTCCAAAAGATTCTTATTTCGCTCTCTTCAGTCCAGACTAGAGTCCAGGCTGCGTAGGTAATGGTCAGTGCTTTTTAGTTTTTTACTTAATCCTTTATCTTTAATTTTGTTCATTTCCTCATGACATAGTAAAGTTTTGCTCTCTTTCTAGGCTCCACATTTACATACTTTTCAAAGAAGCAGTTCTTTAGTACTCTTCTAAATATATGCCCTGGTTCTAGACCAAGTGTTTTAAGTTTTTCATACTAGTAATTTGTTCTTTCAATAAGAGATAACTATTATCTCTTTGTCATGTTGTTCCTTTTATCATTTATAATTGTAAAATCTTGTTGTAACATGCTCCCTAAACACGTTTCCCTTTTTAATACACTAAAAGAACACTGGACTGGAAAAAAACCCTAATGTAGTTTAAACAAGGAATCTGTAGATTTTGAAAGATATTTGAAAATTTCTGAAATTACTTCAAATGAATGCTTTTAATTGACTTTTTTTTTTTTTTAAAGTGTAAATGTCTTGATAATCGTATTCAGTTGAAGCCTGCCAACTTTAAATGGAATACTGGATCAGGTCATTATCTGACACTAGGAACTGGTGTCTTTGACATTCCCATCTCTTTTGTTACCTAAAATAATGGTGTCAAAGACAGTGCCTCTGATCTCATCTTGCTGTATTAAATTAAAGAAAATCAAATAATCTAATGTAAGCATTCCCTTAGTATCCAGCAGTCTTAAACTGTGTCATCTTGTTTAGATTGTTTTGAGACATCCAGCATCCTGCTGGATGACTGGTAGTTGTGAGCTGACCTTGCAAGCTGACTTCTTTGTGTGCTTTGGAAAGTCACTGCCTGCCTCTAGGCTCAAAGTGGATTTGATTTCCTTCTGCTTCTGCAGGGTCCCTCTTTCTTTCTCTTCCACCTTTTCCAAAGGTCTGTGGTCCTTTGCTGCTGTCAGCCTGGTCAGTGCCACCATGAACTCCAGGATGCGTTTGAGAGCACTGTGGCCTGAGTGCCACTGAATTTCTCTGACACCGTCATGAAGGATTTAATACCTTTTGAGAACTCTAGCTCCTCATTAGAAAAAGTAGGGATGCTTTGAAGAAAATATCAAAAATACAGAGTTGCTGGTGTTGCTGCTTTACCATTCTGTTTTCTCTTCAGTCTGCTTTTCACCCCATCCCTTTCTCTACTTCATGATGTTCATACTGTGCCCTCCTACTTTGTTCACCTACCTCCCTGCTGCCTGAAGTAATAAGAGTCCACATCACGGAACAGTGTGAATATAAATGGGAACAGAAAGGATGTCACATGGAGCCCAGAGTGTTTCTGCCCACCCAGTTGTACACCTGAAGCACAATTTGTCAGGTCCCAGGTCCGGTCGCGGATTCTGGTTTAGCTGGAGAGAGATGTTCTTCATCCATCTGGATCAAGCTGGGCCAATCTGGAAGAAGGCTGACTCTCCCAGGGACTAGTGAGAATTGGTGGAGAGGAGCCCAGGGAAGTCATGGCGGTCAGCTTAAACAGAGGGGTCCTACTTCACAGGCTGCTGTTCCATCATACATGCAACAGATGTTGAATGAGACACTGAAATGGAAACTTCTTTGCTGCTGTCTGTCACAGAAAGAGCCTTACCGTGAACTGGGAGAGCTCTGCAAAAGACATTGATTAATTACAGAGGAATTCAGGGTGCAGCTGGTTAGAAAAGAGTAGCAGACATGTAAAAAAGTCAGCAGGTGCCTAAGATGGGAATTAGTAGGGACTGTGGAGATAGAGAGGTAAAGAAAAGAAACAACTGCATGACCTTCATGTCAGCAATGTGGGCCTGAAGTGCAAACCTCAGGTCTGGGGAATGAGGTTTAGTGTATTTCAAAGACAGATGATGAGTCATCAGCACCAATCTTGGCCCAAACATATGGCATTCAGGATTATGGCATTTTGGTACTATGTTTAGGATCCTTTTTGTTTATATGACACTTGAATGTACCAATGTCCTGTAATTATAATTAGTATTTTTTCCTATTGTACTGTGTTTTAAAGTTCCTTTAGTTACTATATGTGTCTTTGTTCTCCAGGTACACTCCAGCCTTCTCTTTTTGTCATTTTTACACACATGCATACATAGGAAAAAAATGTTCAAATAAGTCTCAACAAGTGTAGATAGCATTTGATATGAGACTTAAAGTGAGTAAATACAATGCAACTACATGCTTTGAAAGTACTAATCTAGCTTTTATGGACTTTAATTTCACTATATATTTGTAGTGAAAATGTGAGTCAGGATTTCTTCTGGGATCTGCTTCACAATTCAGCACTTGCTATTTGATCTTCCTCAGGTTACTTACTCTTTCTGTGCCATAATTTACCTACATCATCATCATAATTGTAATTATAATAATTGCCTACTTCATAAAACATTATGGGGCTCATTTACAAGTGATATTCATAAGCTGCTCTTAGAAACTTGGCAGAAAGATCCCATAAAAATATAAAGTATAATTACCACTATTATTTTATTTAAAATGTATGTAGCTTACAAACAGCGCTGATTCAAAGTGGTGCAGTAAGGCAGCAATCTGTGAGTGTGCTCTTGCTACACCTGAGGTCAGTACTTGTTAACCATGGTGTTCCATCCAGGTGGTATTTTTCCTCCTCATATCAGAAGTGGTAGGAGACATTAACACCAAAGCAAGGTACAGTGATTACCAGTCTGTGATATTTTCTGCAAAGTAAGGAGTAGCAAGTCTCACCAAGTTGGGAACTCAATACCAGGAGCTGCTGTCTTTCTCAAGAGACTGCTGCTCCCAAGTCCTTTTGCTGGCCAGACCCGTCCAATCTTGCTGTATCCTGGCTTTGGCACCCATTCTGCATTATAGAGAATGGGGAGCCTAGGGGAAATTATTTTGACTCGAGATATAAGGAAAAGCGTATGTGCTTTTCAGAGTTAGCCAGTCAGCACAGAGAACAGCCACTGCTGAGGCCAGACTCTACCTTTATTGTAGCAGGAGTTTCCAGCAGAGCCCCCTGTGTGTATATTGAATTGCATCAGTTTAAAGATAAATCTGTGAGGGGACAGAGAGAAATCTCCTTCCAGACTTATTTAATGATTTGCATTTTTTATCATAACTCAGCTTATTCTCTAAAGCATTCTCTTTTTTTAGTGATGTGGTGCATGCACCTTAAGAAGATACTAACCTTAATGCTGTATGTTCCTACAGATGAGGATGAGGATGATGATGATAATATTGAGATAGATACTAACGAGGAGGTTCCTGAATGCTCTGTTACTGGAGGTGGAGATGAGCTTACTAACCTAGAAAATGACCTTGATGCAACGGGTAATTTAAATAATGGCTATTTTGTGTATTTTGCATGACTAACACTCTATCATTGTATAAGTACTGATGCGCTGCTTCTCTCTGTCATAGCTTTATTCCCTTGTGCCTTTTCAGGTCTTTTAAACGCTAATGCTTATTCTTTTTAAATATTTTGTATCCATGTTTAGTTAAAATTTAAAATCAGCAACAGAATCATTATTTCCCACAATGGCAGATTTAAATGTCTCTTACTGTTTGATGGGGAAGGGGGCCCCAGGCCAGATTTGTAAAGCTGAGCCACCTGAAATCACCCTGCCTGGATTGTCCCAGCAAAGCAAGGTAGGCAGAGGAGTGAGCAATCGCATTGGTGAGTACAGCTGCCGCTCTCTGCACTGACATCCTGGCCCATCTGCTCAGTGAAGAGAAACAAACCTGTTTCTATGTTTCCATGTAGACTTGGTATCCCTCAGGTTCCTTCCTGGGGACGAGTTCCTGTATTTACACCTTGTTGGTCCAGTGGGGACATGGAGGTATACATTTGAACAGAATTAGTCCTATTTACTTTACAAAGTTCAAGTAATAGATTTATAATAACACATTTTAAAAGCATTCCTGATTGCGTAGAAATGCTTGTACAATCATATTGCATGCTGGTGAAGTAATAATAAATCATAGTAGTGGTATTTCCCCTTTCAAAAATTGTAATCAAGCGAAACTGGGGTTCATGTTCCTCTACAGATGATAAGTATGTCAGGATCTTACAAGGGAGATGCTTATTTAAAAAGGCGCTAGATCTTCAAAGCCACAAAGGTAATTGGCATCAGTAAGGGGCTCCTCTGCTCACAGAGAGTTGAAGGAGTTTGTTCGCTGTACAAGTCTGCCTGTTACCAGTGGCCCTGGGGAATGCCCAGGGCCCCTGTGTAGTGTGGTGTGCTTCTCTGCTGAGGTGCTTCTGCTCATTACAAGTTAGCTCGAGCCCAGAGAAGTGTGGCAAGCACAGGGACAGCATCAGGAAAAAGGCGGTACAAGAGAGAACTTCCTACAGCATCCTATGGCAACTGTATGTCAACTTGACCCAAATGTGTAGCCCATTATATGTTAAATCAAAACACTTCAGTGTTTGCTCTTTGTAAATTAAATTGACAGTGATGTGTGTGTAGCACTTTCTAGTTTTTTTTGAATGCAAAAGATTTGAGTCATGTCCTCAAACACATAAGAAAATACATTTAATGTTTCCAGAATTTGAATTAAGCTGATTTAGAGCAGAATTTTCCAATAAATACTGGTTCATTTTAGGAGAAATAGAAAATCAGTAAATGAATATTCCTGTCACATAGCCCCAGTGACTTACCAACATATATTTCTGTGGGCCTTTTTTCCTGAGAGATACTTTCTCAGGGATACAAACCCACTACCCAACGCTACATCTCCACAATGGGAAGACATTCTGGAAGAAACCTGGGACATTATTTTGCATTATTTTGAAGTTAAGTCTGCACAGTAGCCTAGAAGGACGAACAAGTAAGGAAGAGGATGGGCAATAATACAGAAAGCAGTTTAACGCTGTGATAGAAAACAGTGTACACAGATTTTGGTGGGATTCTGCCAGTTCATATCAAGTTCTAATGAAGGCTGAATCTCCTGGGAGCACCTAAACACAAAACTGTAAGGGACATTTCACCGTTGGGATCATTATCACCATCTTAATTTGTCTCCTGCTGACTCTTAGTCCCTCCCATCTCTCTCAAGAAGAAAAAACTTTTTTTTTTTTTTTACTGCCAGTTGTTGGTTTTAAATATTGTGTCTGCCTGGATTTGTCAGTATTGCTACCATACACTGCTGTGAATGTATCTGATAAAATGTGAACCTCTTATATCGTAGTTATTAGATGATGTTTATGTATAAACCCACGAGAATGTGCATGTACTTACATGTGAGCCTCAATTAAGGGCACCCTGACTGGGTGTGCCAGAGGAAAGGGAAACCATCCTTCGTCATAACCCAACCCAGCCCGTTGCTGCTGGAGGCAGGCATCATTTGATTGCCAGCATGCCAAAAATATTTGGCTGATGTGAACTGGAGCGCTCCAAACCTTGGAAGGAGCTGTGCAGCAAAGCAGTCATGGCTCCACTTCCCACACCAGCTAGAAGCTACCAGCCCACGGTGAAAAACTCGGGCTGTGCCTATAGAAAAACATAACAACTGCTATTTTCCCAAGGCCCAGATGTACGTGCATAATATACGCAGGTGATGCTGCATTCGCTCTGTTTCAGGGGTGATTTCTTGCATGGTGCTGCATGTAGAGTATGTCTGGGAGCTTCTGCACCAGCATTAATCTGCCTTCCTACCCAGGGTTAACGCCATAGATCTGTGCTGCGGTTTGTTATTAACACCTTTCTCCTTATTATGTGTGTACGTGTAGGTAACTGTGTGTGTAGGTGTGTTACAAATTCATATAGTCAACGATCACGTACAGAATGATCATTATTGGGAGGTAAAATTCTCAACTGTTATATCTGTGGGCTCTGATCCAAGTTGCTAAAACTGCTGAAAGAAATTTGGGGGCTTCGGCACTTTGAATCTGTCCCTTCGATGCAGTTACAAAGCATTTTATGGCTCTCACAGCTTCAATGTATTGTGTAAATCATAGTAAAATATTACTGGAAAGCTGTCTCTTTTGATACTGAAATCTTAACTTTGAGAAGCTGTGCCAAGGAACCTTAGGATAAATTAGTAGTTCATAAACTTGAGGGGTTATCAGTACTTAGAATATGTAATAAATTGTTATATGTCATCTTAAAATAAATGGCTTTTTAAGTGTGTATTTATAGCGAAGTATAGGTATGTACAGGCTGGGAGTAACTTAAAGTAAACATTGTCTGCTTTCCGTGGTTTTTCATCTACTGTCTTCGAGCACATTTAGTTGTTCAGCTGAGTGCTATATATATTTTTTTGGGACAACTTAGCCATTATCTATGTACATTACACAAATCCATGCCAATACGAATCGCAAAAAAAAAACAAAAACCCTTCTAGCTTTTACTTTTTTTAGTTTGAAATGATAGCAAAGTGAATGAAATCTACCTTTTAAATTGCTATGTTGTTGTAGCAACTCTGCATTTAAATGCATCTCACTCTGTTGTATGTGGTATTTGCATATTTAGCAGAACAAAACAGTAAGTTGGTGGATTTGAAGCTGAAGAAGCTCCTAGAAGCTCAGCCACAGGTGGCAAATTCACTCTCCAGTGCTGCTCAGAAAGCTGTAACTGATAGCTCAGAGCAAGACATTAAGGTAAGTTTTGATTAATGCTTTTGTCTCAGTACCTGTGTGTTCCGATTTTGGGTCTGTACTTCATGAGGGGGAAAATGATTTCTTATCAAATCCTTCACAGTAAGAAACACAGAAAATCTTCATGGCAGTGCAATTGCATAGTTTGCAGTGTGGTGGGTTTTTTCCTGTTGATTAGTCAACACATTTTCCTTTATTATTTTTTATCTTGATACTTGTCATTGGCATAACAGTAAGAGATATAAGAAGCATTTGTCAGTTCTTATTGCTCAGGTTGTCACTTAAATCAGAAATACAGCGTGGGCTCCATCCTGCTGCTGGTGTGATCAGCAGCAAGACTCTCCCTGACTTCAACAGGAGCAGGATTGCACTCTTAGTGATTTGCTTCCCTCACAAGCTTGACCTTCTGTTTTTTCTCCATGAAAATTAAGCCGAGGTGCACTTTAAAGACATACATACTTGGGTGCTTGACAACGAGTGCTGCTGGGAAAAGTAGACCCGAGTATGCGGTGTATGTGCTCATTTTGCCTATTCTTAATGTTCACCACTTAAGCATAAAGCGCATACCAGTCAATTTTCCATTTCATTTTCTTAATTAGACCCCTTGTGTTCTTACTATTATATTTTTTTAAAAATAGTCCCTGTAGGTCATTAATATCCCTATGGCTCTGGGGCACTTCCAGTTGGGTATAACTTTTCACCCACCTGCAGTCTAGAGGGAAAGCACTGCTGACTGAAAGGATTTCCTTCCCCAGATACAGAGATGCTTTGAAGTCCCAAAACAATGACTTTCATTGCTTTTCCCTTACACTGTCGGTTCCTATAAATTGGTGATGAAAGTGTGTGGCAGCAGCAGAGGACTTTCGGTCTCTATCTTTGAACAAAAGGAAGCCTGGATCAAGTCTGATTTTTGCGTTCAATTTAGCTTTCTGCAGTGGATTTAATGCAAAATGAAGCTGGCCCAAGAATAATACAATGGATTGAAAAGGCTAACTGAATTAGTGGGCTTAGAGGAATACATTTGTAAAGTGGCAGAAGTCCCCAGTCATAAAAAGGTTTCTTAAAATGGGATTTACTGGCTAATCACACTGATATTTTAGCATGTTGCCAGGCCTGAAAAATTAGTCATGTTTGTTTATTTTGGTAAAGACTGTGGTTTAGGCTGTCAGATGGTTATTGTGCTAATAACAGGAAACCACCTTTTATTTAATGAGAATCATAACTACCCGATTAGTGCAGCTGAAAAGTCATCCAGGGGGTATGAGCAATACTTTTTTAAGCTTAATTCAACAAATGACACGCAGGCCGCTTCTTAGGGTAATTTGGTATCACCTAACCTAAGAAAATGGCATTTCTCATTGTAAAAGGCTTCTGTGAAGGAGTTGATTTTTTTTTTTAAGGTACCCCCACAAAAGGTGCAACTTAACAATTTATCTCTGTGTACGTCTTTCTAAGGAAGAGTTGGAAAGCGGCATTATAAGGAATATATGGTGTCCATCTGTTCTCATGGAGCTCTCAGCATTGAGGTGGATTTGTTTTTTAATAAAATGCAGTTTACACGTTTCTAAATGAGGCATTCTGTGTTTGTGGAAAAGGATAAACTGTTACCTTCCCTTGGGGATTGTGTATCCCTGGCCTCCTTGAGGCTAGAGAATAGGCCATTGGAGAACTCCCTCATTACCGATTGTCTCAATGCAGAGGAAGGGCAAAGTCTTGGTAGCTTTTGATAACCAGTTTCAGCATTCAGCAGGCTTAGCTATTAGTCATGCATCTTAGCCTTTCCCTATTTACTTTCAAAACACTTAATAAAAATAATAAAAGATTAGGTATAAAATGAAATATTTGTTTGGTACACAGCACCTCGGTATCTGCAGTTTCCACACACTGCGGTGGTTCAGTCTTCTGGGATATTTCGTGTTGATAGAACCGTTTGAATTTGTTACCCGTATTAACATAGGAAGCCCTGGAAAAGATAATTGTAGTTTCCTTAGCTGTAAAGGGCTTACTTACAAATCTGGCTTTGGAAAGTTATAGCTGATGAAATGCAGTTCAGTGGGGTAGTATTATAATCCTACCTTTTAGCCTTCATCCAGCATTAGTGGTTTATCTCAATGGGCATAAAATTAGAAACTAGTTCTTCTTGTCATACAAGTCTGTGGGACTACAGAAAACGACAGATTTCTTTACCAGGCAAGGAGACAGGCTAAAGGCAACACGCTTTTAAAACGATACAGATCGTATTCAGGGGTAGAGACGCCGCTACTTGGCAGCAGCACACACAGCGCTTGGCAAATCAAACTTGCAAAGGAGTGATTTTTTTGTTTAAAGTCGACATCGCTGGCAAATACTGCTCACAATTAATAGGTCTGGCTGTTAAGTAAGTAGAGTACTGCAGGAGGGTGCCCACGTAGCAAAAATCCAGTCGTTGCCACCACACATTAATAAAAAAAAAAAAAAAAAAAAAAGTTAATAATTCTTCCTTTTTTTCCACAGCTGGTACTTTCATCCTATATAAACCGTGACCTCAGTTGTGAAATCCTCTTGGCAAAAGCTGTGTCCTGTCCCCTCACCGAAATGTACCTTTCGAATTCGTGCCTTCCCGTTTGTAAACAAAAGAAACTGTTGTGTGTCTGGTTTTTTCCCTAGCAGAATGGAACAGAGGAACATCGTGCTGAGCGATTACAAAAAGCAGCAGAACGGTTTAGAAATCCTGTTGTGTTCAGCAAGGACTCTACCGTCAGAAAAACTCAGCTCCAGTCTTTCAGTCAATACGTGGAGAGCAGACCAGGTAGGAGAAAATATAAAACCTGTTTTCCCATCTTATGATTTAATAATATTTAACAATAAATATATGAAAACCTGATAATGTAAGTCCACATTTCAATACATAAATATCAAGCTTTATAATAATTTTACATGTCTTTCCCCTTTTTTCAAGAGATGAAAAGGCAGAGATCAATACAGGAAGATACAAAGAGAGGAAATGAGGAGAAGGCTGCGATAACTGAGACTCAGAGGAAGCCATCAGAAGATGAAGTGCTTAATGTATATTAATTTTTTGTCTGGTTTCATGATTGCTGATAATTCCAAACTGTATGTGGAAATAGTGCCTTTATTTGTTAAAATGAGATGTTAGGTTTTTTTAGATGTCAATCTCCAGCGCATTCAAAGCAGAGTGAGAGGGGTGCACTGTTGAATTAGTCTGCAGTGTGGTGATAATTGTCAGATAAAAAAAAATGAATTTTTCAGAGTTCCACAGCCCCAGCTTCCTTGAGACATTTCCATCAGGGCACTTCCCATAAAGAGATTCCAGTATTGATCTACCGGGAGGATTTTAATTATTACAATAGCAGATACCGCAGAGCTGCAGTTAGAGGGAAGAGTCACATGAGACCTGCTAGAATTTCTCAGCCAACCCATTTTGTTGGCTTGGGTTAATGGGTGTTCAACCTTTCCATTATCCAGATCAGCCGTGAATTACTAGCTGAATGATGTTTGCATTAATATAATATATATGGTAATTTCTTCACTTAATTAACGGGGAGGTTCAGCTCAGTAGGGGTATGGGCTGATCATGTGTAAAATTGATTTGTGAGGGAAATATTTGATAGACCGCAGGGAGAAAGCTGGTTTTGATGGACAGCTGCGGGACAGAAGCAGGAAGAACAAGTTTTAACCTGAATTTTTTTTGTCTGAAAACGCAACACAGCCTTTGATGGTGGTCGTTTGTTGCTCTCCACAATTTATCTAAACACATTTGTAGTTTTTGCTGAGCAGCGATTTTGTACTACTGTCATATCTACACCAAAAAACCAAACTTTTTACAAGCCAGAGTTATTTTTAGCCCAGTCGTACTATTGCAGAGCTGAAGAGGTCTGGCACAGTAAGTTCACATTATATATGCAGATGATACACGTGAACTCTTGGGATATTTCAGCCTGACACAGCATTTCTTTTCATCTTCTAAT